TGGCCTTTAACTTCTACGCCATTGCTAACGCTGCATCTGAGAGGGCAAATTTTAATCGGAACAATGAGCTCCTTGACATGATTTTTACTGTTGCTGCACAATTTGGAGACATTCCCATCCTCATTGCCGGCGACTTTCAGATGGAGCCTGGAATGTACCCAGCTGTTCAGCTCGCCCTTGACCATTGGGGCTGGGCAGATCCTTTGCTGCAGACGGATGAACAGGGAAACGTCGTAAGACCAAGTACTTTCTTCCAAGCAGCAGCCAGCGATGCTGATGGACAGTCATCCATTGATGGTATTCTGTTGAACAGAACTGCATTGACAGCGTTGCTCAACATTGAAGTCCTCGACCATCGATCAACATAGACCAGTCAAGGCCACCTTTATGTGGGATCGGATCCTTCAGGTTGGGACCATGATGCAGCGTGCTGCTAAGCTCAACCTGGATCATATCCAACGAGCTGATCCTGATGACTTAGGGTGTCCTATCAATGGTTTCAGTCAGTGAGCAGCTCTGGCATAGTTATGCACCTGACTTCAACGATGCTACGGATGCTGACGCTAATGGGATGTATTTAATGCCTATGCTGTTCAGCTCCTTCTCCTCAATGGAGCAAGCTGGGAGAGAGGGCCCCGCACTCGTGGGAAGATCCCCAAATTTCATAAAGTTCAAGCCTGTGCTGACCAAGGAGCTAATGGTGATCTTGCCTCACCTCACCTTTTGTTGCTGCAATCTGTACTGCGATCATTGCGGGAGCTTGAGCTCCGCTTCAATAGAGATGCGACTGGGCCCGGTGATGTTCGCACCCTTCGAAACACCCAACATCGCCTTCTTCGAAAGTTGAAAGTTGCCAAGATCATGCCGTACACAGTCCGGCAGATTTTTGTACATGATCTGCCACACTTGGTTAAGATCACACTTCATGCGATTCGGGAGGAGATGAAACAGATCAAACTTGCTGCAATCAAAAAATGGCGTAGTGCCATGAAACTGGCCACGACATCGCCCACCATCGGGAAGATTGTTTACCAGTACCTCAAAAGGAAGGGTCGGGTGGTACCACCTAATTTGGTTGAGGACGAAGCGGGCAATATCATTTATGACCCTCAAACAGCAATGGATGTTATTGCAGACAAGTGGGACTCGGTCTTCTCCGTAAATGTTGAACATACCCATGAGATGCAAATTCTGAAAGAAGTGTGGCCTTATATCCTTGATAAAGGGCAAGCTATCTCACTGCCACCGATCACGGAGGAACAGTTGTGGAGTCAAGCAGCCAAGCGACGACCCGATGCGGTTGCTGGCATGGATGCATGGCAAACCAGGGAGGTTCAGGCACTCCCACCAGCAGCATTTCGCCCTGTTGCTGCCCTTTTCAACTCGATTGAGGAGGGCGCCGTTGAGTTCCCCACCATTCTCACGCAGGTTCGTATGGTCATTCACAGCAAGGACGGGAGTGATGCGCCCCTCTCCAAACGGCTCATTTCCCTCCAGTCCGTATTTACACTGTTGTACACAGGACTTCGATTTTTGCAGCTTCAGCAGTGGCAGCAAGATGTGATGCCTCCACAGCTGAAAGGGGGTATTAAGGGCCGGCTGATGTCCGAAGTCCATATGACCATGCAAATGGAGATTGACAGGGCTCACAGCTTTCATGGCTCTTTTGCTGCACTCAAGTTGGACAAAGCCAAGTGCTTTGATCGGTTGATGCCCAAGCTGTGTGCGGCCATCTGCTGACACTTGGCCTCCCGAAGAGCTTTGTTTGCGGGTTTCTTGCCTTATATACTCGTATGACAAGATTCCTTTCTTTCAAGCAATGGACCCGAGATCAGCCAATAACCACACCGAATGGTGTTGCGCAAGGACGCTCGCTCAGCCTGCTCTGTATCAACATACACATGGCAATTTGGGCGTGGCTTGTTTGTCATATTGATGGTGTCGACTTTAGAGCGTTCATCGATGACACATACTTGTGGACTCGGCTGCCCTCCATTGACAACCTGGTTGCTGCAGTTCGGGCCACTGAGCTTTGGGGTGCACTCTGTGGACAGTTTCTCAATGCCAGCAAATGCGAGCTTTTTGCCACCACAGCTGAGCTTCGGAAAGCCCTTGCAGATGCGTCTTGTTGAGGTGGTCAACATCCTCGGGGCCCACGTGCAAACGACCAAGAAGAATGTTGGCAACTTTCCGCTCACAAAGCTGCAAGCCGCCCTACGGGACTGCGAGGCTATCCGTGCCCTGAGCAAAAGAGCTCAAATCTTGGCCACGAAGGTTCTACCCCAAGTGGCATTTGCGCCCCAGCTGAACTTCCTGCCGAAAAGACTATTAGCTTGGCTACAAAGCTATAGCTGACGCCATCTGGCAAGACAGACCCAAGTGGCGTTCGAAGCACCTATTGCTGTGCGTGGTACATAAGGCTCATAAATTGGACCCTTTCCTTTTTCGAGCAGTCACTACAATCATTGAGTCTGTGAGGTTTCTTCGTACATCTGGCTATGCCAGGCAGTGCTGGTACGCTATCTATGAGCAAGGCCAGTTCACAGCCCAATCTTGGATGACGCAGTTTGCCCAGGCCTGTCAAATCCTGGATATTGACTGGTGTAGTCCGTTTGGGTTCTCTGTCTTCGAGGCCTCTGAAGTGCCTTTCTTGGACTTTTCCTTGGGTGATGTCAAATGCATCCTCAAAAGCTTGGCCGCCCATAAGTGCTATCACACAGCGAGCACGATACCGCGGAAGGACATTCATAAAGCCACTGGTTTTTTGGACCTGGGCCTCACTCTCTCCGCCAAGAAGAAGATGGCAGTATCCCAAATGCGAACTTTTCCTTTACCTTCCATTGGGAAAGTGCTATAACAGGCTGCACTCTGACAGCCGATAGACTGGCGGCCTCCGGCCTCGTGGACAGTCCACTGTGCAGGTTCTGTGGCTCAGCTGAGGAATCGCTCCAGCATTTCGTGGATGATTGTTCTTCGTTGCCAATGGATCTACAGCAGCCCTCATCGTGTCATTCTTCTGGACCGAATTTTGACATGCTTGGGATCGCTGAGCTTCCTTTGGATGTGATTCGTCGGAAACTACAGGTCTCGCAGCCATCCGACTTACAGGTCAATGCATAGGCTGTGCCGCTCCCACATACACGGCATGTGTGGTCAGATGGATCAGTTCAGTTATCCCACCATCCTTGGCTCACCCTTGCATCTTTCGCTGTTGTAGCAGAGGATGAACAGCTACTGGTCGCTGGCAGAGTGTGCCACTGGAGGTTATCCAGCTACAGCGCTGAACTATGGGCTGTACTGGCCGCCTTTGCCATTGCATCACAACCTATTGTGGTTCATACAGACTCCCTCACTGTTGTCAATCAGTTTAATGAGCTTCTTAGGCTGGGGAGTGTACAAGTGGAATGGACCCATGCAAACTGGTGGGGCTTCCTTCTTGCCCTGCTTCACCAACGTAGGGGTTTCTGCGAGGCTCCGCTTCAACTTGTTTGGTGTCCTGCCCATCTGTTAGAACACATTCCGGCCGACTTGCTCACGGAGGAGGCAGCCACCTATGCTGGATCCTGCAAGCGTGACATCCTTCTCAACCGAGTGGCAGATGATTTTGCTAAGCAGCAAATTGCGAAGATTGCGGTACATGTCAAAGCTGATCTACGTATGAAAGAAACAGATGTTTTTGCACGACAGCTATGGCTTGCCAAGATTAACAGAGCCTGTAAGAGATCTGAAGAGCCTCTTCCGGAAGTACCTCCTCCTGTACCGGTGATCCCAATGAGGATACCGGCCCGTCAGCAATGTCCACGGTGGGCATGGGACTCTCAACCTGATCTCTATACGTGGCAGGTGCACAATGACGTTCACATGTCTTTTGCGGGCCGACCCAATCTGTCGTGTGCGAATTTTCGTATCTTCCTGCAGTTCAGCAACACTTTGCGCTGGAGATTAGGTGAAGGGTTGGCTTGCTCCGTGTTTGAACTTGCCGCCTTTGCATTCACGCAAGGATGGCGTTTCGAGTTGCCAGTGGGAACAATCTGCACAGTGCAATCCTATGCAGCTATCATCCGTGCTGCAATCTCATACTGCAAATCAAAGAGCATCGTGTGCGCCCCACTCCTTCTTGATAAAGGAAATAAGTGTAACGGCAAGACTTTTCCGAAGGGCGCCTTCCTTGGTGCCGAAGCGTTCGTTGACAATTGCACTTTAGAGTTGCTGTTCAGGGCCTTTGAGAAGGGGGCTAAAGCCACTCCCAACTCATGAGCACTAGCCTTTGATTCGCTTCTGTGAATCTAGTTGCCCCTTTAGTTGGTCCATAGACCCATGGCGCGGAAGCACATGGGTCGCCGAAGACCTCGTCGCACGGCATGAGAGCACAAAAAAGAAGGAAGCTCCCCTCACCTGAGGGTGGGGGAGAGCTTCTTTGAAGAAGCGCTCGCACGAATGATTTGGTTCCTAGATTTTTAGGGAAACTTAACGGGCAACAAGAAGCTATTAGGGGCTCTTGGCCTTACTACCAGGAGCAAGGGCGCTACTAGGGGCTCCTGGCATCACTCCTAGTAACAAGAAGCTACTAGGAACAAGAAGCTCTGTCCATCTTGTTTTATGTGCACAGTCGCGGTCTTGAATAAACTAAATACACTTCCACTCAAAGACATCAACCTTTCACACTCTCGCCACACATATTGCTTGGAGTACGTCTGCGTACACCCCTCTACATACATACACAAGTACTATTTGCAGAAACAAAATACTGAATACTTGTCAGTTCAGTCTCTACCAACTTGAAGTCATATTCTACTTAAGTGGTGCAAGTAAAAGGCAGGGCAAACACATAAGTCGGTTGTCAGAGTTCTTCATGATCGGAATAGACATGCTGCGGTCAAATAAGGAACAAAGAAGTCGGAATGGCAGGAGCAAATATCTGGTGCTTCAAAGCCTCTCCTATGGGCTTTAATAGCATGTGACACTGCCGCAGGTTGGTCAAGAGAGGTCGACAAAGGGGCCTTCAACAAAAAGGTGGACATCCTCCATCAAAGCGGCCATGAAAATCTTGGCATATGCAAAGCCTGGGGACAAATCTTGGGCAAAGTCTGATACCATGATTCGAAAAATAGCAGGAGGTAAAAAAAGGCGTAGTCAAACATGAAAGCGTATGAGCTCTCCATCTGACAAGAGCGAGCACCGTTAAACTTGTCAAATACTCTCAACACGAGATTGGCTTCACCTGGCCAAAACGTCATGCCAGGAGGCGCTCAGGCTGTGAGAGCTGACGGACTTGACCCCAGTCCAGAACACAAAGCCGGCCTGGGCAAAAGTTGTAGAGTCACTTGAATAAGACATATGCCAAAACAAACCCAGTTCCTTGATTTACGAAAACAGTGCTCAGCCATTCCTCCTTGGCTTGTTTGTATGAGGCTACACTTTTGCAGGCTCAAGGCTTCCCTTACAGCAAACTTCTGGAGACCAAACCAACTAGCAATGGCTAGAACATGTTATATAGATCATTCTTGACCATAACATTCGGACCGGACAAAAGCATCCAAAAGTAGTGTAATTTTAGGCGACCTCAAATGACAGCCAAAGGAGGAGGGCATTGACTTTGAGGTTCAAGTTTTGTTTGGCCGCTCTTATATTCTCAGGGTGTGCTTGCACATATCAAACCTTTGAGCAGCAACTTTAAACACTAGTTGAAAGATTGTGTTAAACTGTTATACACCCAAAATGCTGAATTTTGCATGTATTATTATTGCTGGCCTGAGCACATTTCAACATGGCCTGTTGACTCAGCAGCGAGCCTGTCTCTTTCTCAACAAGAATATTTCCTGGATGTGGGTCGCAGTTGAAGATCGGCCCATGAAGTGTGAAGCCTGCGCCAACAATCGAGGGGGCACTCGACTCCCAAGTGCTGTAAGCAGATTTTCAAAGCTGGTTGTTTGGGTCAAAGTATCCTGCGTTTGTGGTACTCCCAAGCAGTTCTGAAGCCAGTTCTGAGTTGGAGAGATGTGGAAAAAATACAAGAGGGTGAGTCCTATTGCTTTAAGCATACTTCTACCACTTCCATGAGCTTGGAAGGCTCACATCGTCGGATCAAGCTTCGTCCGCACCGTAGAAGTCGATGAGCTTTGCCATGACCTCCTTGCGCTGCTGGCTGGAGCTCTCAGAAGCTGCCTGCCGAGCCAAAGTCTCGTTTCACGTCAGATGGGGAGGGAGAACTGAAAACCGCGACGACTCTTTTGCATCCAAAGCATCATGAATCATGACCAAAGCTTCTTGAGACAAGTGGCATAGTCTGTGATCTTCACACCTTTCACATACTCCATGGCCAACACCCGTTTTGTCACATACTCCGGAATGACAGCAGGAATGATTATGTCCTTGGTAGCAGCAAGCTTAAAGCCTTCGCAGCTCTGAAGATTCAAGCAGGCTCGTCCAAAAAATTGTCATGCTGACGCTGTGTTACATCTCTTATACTCACCTTCAAATCAGCTCCTTAAAGCATCTGCAAATGAGAAAGCCAGCAATAATTGGGAAACCACAATGTCGCCAAGAAGATATATTCCAAACTCTTCGAGGGCTGGAGAGCCTAACTCACAGACTAGCAGTGTAGCAAAGCCAACAGTGCGCTCAAGGCTCCAAACCAGCTTCGTCAATCTTTGCTCGAGCCATACATTGGTTCTTGGCCTGTCAAGCGCTTCTGAAAGTTTGAGAAAGTGGGAACAGGAGTTGAACAAGCTGAACCTGTCCATGCTCCTATCAGAGTTCTTCATGTTTTCCACAGTTCCAACATGTTCGGAGTCCTCCTATGTATGTTTCTGTTGCTTTGTCTCTTGACATCGACATGACAGCGGCAAACGAGACAAGCCAGACCTCCACACGGAAATCCAGCTCCGCTTTGGACATTGCGGCGGTGTCTTGGATTGTGGCACCAAGATCTGAGAACATGTGCGGCATCAAGCTGGAGAGAAGCCTGCACCAAGCATCTGAGTAAACAAACACAAAATGATAAGTTGCTGGCATGATATTCAGAAACCACATGTCAAGCTTGTGTATTTGATTGTGAATCCGTGTTTAATAGTCATCCATCAAAACAAGCCATGCATCCATGCATCCATGCATCCACTTTCTAACAAAGTGATGAGGATGCATGAATGCGGATGATGAACAGAATGGTCCAAAAGCACCACAAGAGTCAGAAGGACTTTGTAAAGAAACTCGGCCTCTGACACAAAATGTCAAAAATGTGATGATGATGATGATGATGATGATGATGATATGATGATGCTGGTGGTGGTGGTGGTGATGATGATGATGAGTAATGTCATGATGTAATGTGTGAAGTCGTGATCTGTCATGATGTGTGGGTGATTTGGAGGTTCTGAAGCAAGATAATAAAGTTACAGATGGTGATGATGGTGCGGCCATGTCTACATCAAGACTGCTGATGAAAAGCGCCCACATCAACAAAGGCCCTCTACAGAGCAGCAGAAAGCAAAGGTGTTGGGTAGGGGTTGATTTCAAGAGTTATATATAATATATAGAAAGGATTTTATAACATAAAGAGTCTAAGAGTATTTCTGTTCTATCCACCTGTATTGCAACATAGGGCACCAAAAAGATTAGATCAAGAATTACTTCTTTTCAAGCCTCTTGTTTGACATGTACACATCTGAAGAGTTTACTTGTGATGTAATTCTGTTGCAAGGTGTTCTTCTGAATGTCTTTTTGCATGGCGACTAGGAAACTAGAAAAGCTTGGGCCAGGGAGAGTTAACACTGTCTCATTAAGGCCACGGTTTGAGAACGAATTATCTGTGGATGTATGTCCTTTATATATAGTGTGCCTTTTTGGACGTCTTTGCATAACTTGCCGTTTGGGGATGTTTGGGGTATTCCTTTGCGAGATTAGTGTATAAAGTAATTAGAAAGGTGTGAGTGCGGGTGGAAATTACTCTGCAGTTAATTTTGCCGCACGAAGCCAGGAAACACTAAGTGGATCATCCAGGTACAACTAAGTCTGCAGTTATACCTCGGCAGAACAGCTGCAATGAAAGAGAATTCTTTAGGGTGCGACTATATTTGTGTATGCTTTCTTTTTTCGCTTGGGACATATTTTTGCAGCTGTGGTTTCCCTATAGTTCCTCTTGTGGAAGTGGAAAGCTATATATATATATATGCATACACCTCTTTCTAGAAGAAAGGAGACCATTTTCCATTTCGAGCCAGGCCAAATCAGCCACGGGGCGAACAAAAATGAGACAAGCGGTTCTTTCACCTTAAGGGACAACTCAGGTGCATCGTATGAACAAAACTCTTTAATTCTTTACTCCCTTCTCGGTCGAATACAGGGAGCAATTCAATCAACATACAAAATCCACAGAAGCAACGAAAGATTTAAAAAATAAAGAACAACCAAAGAGAAAATACAAACAACAAAAGTACAGTAGAAAAAGTATAGAAAACTGCCAGAAAAGTAGGAAACGCAACGCAAACTTAAGGCTTGAAAGGCTATGAATAAAAAGTAACGGCAACAAAGACCATGGAAAGCAAATGCAATTTAAAAAAGTAACAATACGCCACTAGAAGACAAGAAGCAGGAAAGTAAAGAATTGCAGTAGAAAAAGCAACGAAAAGCAAGATGGCACAAGAAAAGCAGAAAAAGCATGAGAAATCACAGATAAGCAATGCATTAAAAGCCATGAAAAGCAAGAAAAGCAGCAAGAAAAGCAGCAAGAAGCGGGACAAACATGGAGAAGCGAATCCAAAAACATCCCTGGACGAAACAAAAAAAGCATCCAAAAAAATAGCCCTCATATTTGTTGAACCAAAACACATCTAAAGAAATGACTCTGGAATTAATTCCTGGAACTACCATGCCAGCAGACCCAAATGAAAAGAGTTCAATCAAGAGTTCATTCTAGTGAACCCTTTAAATTAATCCTTTTTTCGGCTGCCTTGTGTTGGTTAAGTTGAGTGAGTTGAGTTGTGTGAGTTCAGCTGTCTGAGGCAGGCTGTGAGTTGAGTTGAGTTCTGTGGGTAGGGCAGCACGGTAAGAATAAGAACCCCACACCAGCATGTGAAGAATAACAACTTTGTCCCAACAATGGAAAGAATGCAGTAGTTTGCTGTTCAGTTGATCTCTCTTGGCGTCCAGCTAGGAATAGGTTCTTGGGCCTGCCCACAAGGACACTGGCTCTTATGTCCACCAGCAGCTTCCTCGGGCTATGCAGAGCAGAGGATCGTTGACGTTGTTCGCATCACACAAAGAGAGAAATCCGTGCGTACAACAAAATGTCCAGAAAGATGGAAACTCGCATGATTCTAACTGGAATCTTCATGTGTGTTCATGATGCTTGGTGACATGTGCAATTTCAACCAAGCATCTCTTCCACGTGTGCGTGTTGCACCTTCAAGACTCCGCGGATCTCCTTCCGAGGGCTGAGTTGGCTCAGTTGGGGCCATTCTGAGCTGTCATCTCACTAGTGCTGATTGCAAGTTTGTCTAAATTTGGCATTTGCAGTCGGTAGTTTCCGAAGCAGTTTCTTCCGGCCAAAGCCCTGAATGAGTACAGAGTACAAAACGTCGGCATAGTCGCATAGTTATATAGTTGATGGGCGTGTGGAAATAAAGCTGTGAGCGAAGGCTTTGGTTTGAGCATCCTACCAGTCAAGTTGTACTGCTCGGGTGGCTTGGAATCATCCTACCAAGGCAACTTGGTTGGCTGGCTAAGGCTGACCCCTCACAAGTGATGGCCAAATCGAACAAAAAAGCTTTCCATAAATCCTCAAAACAATCTGCAGTGCCTGGATGCCCTCCGCCTTGCGCAAGCGGAAGGTGGCCTTGTGCACCTGCTGGCAATGTAGCATATTGTAAACCCTTACACAAGTGTAAACAGAGCCCCCAGAGCTCCCGTTCTGCCAATAGGCTCCGACTCCATCGACGTCATCTGCTGGGAAAGTCCAACATCAAGCTTTGTGCAACTTATGCCCCTAGTAGCGTCCTTGCTCCTCGTAGCGTTGCCCTTTGCTCCTAGTAGCTTCTTGCTCCTACTAGTAAGGCCAGGAGCCCCTAGTAGCGTCCTCAAGGACCTTAAGATCTGCAAGATCTATTCTATAGAGTCACCTGTGCAATGGTGGCACTGCCAAGAACAGGCCCAGGATCGAGCTCAATGTGATCACGCCACGAACGCCCAAGCTCCTGAAAGCAGGCTTGGGATTGGCAAGCCGCAATTGAATGATACAATCCATTATAATCCTATGTTTCACAAAAAGCTTGCTTAAACACAACTTCACTGAGTTGGACTGGTTTTCTGAGTCTACTGTAACTCTAATTTGGCAGCTCACCTTCGTGAGAAGCTTCTCCACCTCCTCAAGGGAATCCGCAGGCATAGCATCCTGAAGCTTTGATAACTCATCCACGTACCTTGCTCGGCTGTCGAATTTTGTTCGATCCACAAACATGTAATTCAAACAAATGCCCTAACCACAGGCCATCATATACAACTGACAAAAGTTTCTTACAATCTATTTGGTTTGGCTAACCAAACAAATTGCAAGAAACTGTTGTCAGTTGTATATGACGGCCTGCCGATAACTCAACCTAGCACCCGTTCGTGCTTCGAAGAAGCTGACTAGATTCTCCAAAATTCTGACAATGCTCACTAACGGGCATGTGTTGTCTCATCTACTCAAAGCCCAGCTGAGCTGCGCATCAGGCAATGCAGAAACCACTGAGGCTGTCTGGGCAAGTTTCACCCAGAAGCCTCCAAGGGACACAACCTAAGGCTGTGCCGCTACTGATCCGTGAACGCACTGCTCAACACAATCTACAAAACAAACGCTTTTTGCGTATCCACTGGGAAGCTTACCCTGACCCTGTCCATTGGTTGATGTGATATGCAAGAGCTACGGAGCAACAACCAAAGCTGATTCCTGCTTTTCAACCAAAGGTTAGCCTATAAGCTGAAGAATCCCACCCACGGTTGAAAACACCACCACAACTATCACCATCGAAGTGGGTGGTATAGTTTGGAACATGGCCCGGAATAATAGAGACTGTGAAAGAAATTTGGACTGAAACGGCAATGTGTGCAGAGGATGGGTAACACTTAGCTGTTACAATGGATAGAGTCTGGTCGGCTGACGATCCCTTCATGGCAAGAGCGCTTGATTGAACAAAAAACAACGGCAATTCAAAGCTGAGCTTCAAAAAACGTATTCCCACCAAGGGGCTGTGTCGAAAACAAAGCGGGCGCAAACCTGCGATGAGCGCAGGGAGACATACTTGGTGATCTATCACTAAAGAATGTTGTCACACAACAGCTGATTACACGCTTCTTCGTGCAGGCAACTCAACCCTGAAGCTTGAAAGTGTGCAGGGTCTTATTTCCCTCATTTGTTCTACGAAACAACAAAAGCGCTTTGCCTCATGGACCGCACAAACAGTTTGTACAGGATGTTATTCTGGGGAGAAGTACAACCAACACAGAACAAGACACTGCTCCACTGTAGATCTTTTGTCATAGTACAAAGATCAGAGCGAATTGCAAGGATGCTTCTAGGGTTTCCCTATATAGCAGGTTCCAGATTCAGAAGATCAACGCGACATATCACAAGTTCCCAGCATTAAATAAAGTGTGTTGCGTCTCAACATAGAATGAGCCATATTCGATATGTGTTCATTCAGCATAACTGAAAATGCTGCGCTTTGCCCTGACTCCAATGTCTTAAATGTCAAGAAAATACGGGCAGCTTGGATCAGACTCCATGGCATGAATCACAGAAGGCAAGATGTATCTTTGCTGCTTTTGATAATCCTCTGATTCTTGGCTTGCTCGCGGTCCTCACCTTGTGGCAGAGTGCCCAAATGGCCTCACCTGCTTGGCTTGGCCGCCCAGACGCTCTGCAGCGTGCAGAGAGTATCTTGCTGAAAATCACCATGCATAGCCATGCCACCTGGGTCCCGTTGCCAGTGCCCTGATTCTTGTGCTTCATGTTTGTTGTTTGAGTGCACTTCGAATTGGCGCACAGGCTCATACAAGTTAACTCCATACCAGCCAGGGTACTTGAAAAATCCCCTGCCCATGGACAGCGAATGATGAGATGAACTGGGCTATTACAAACTTCTGTTCGTTCTTGATTGATCGTATCAAATCAAGAGATTGTTCTACCGCAACTTCTTAAACAGCAAAAGGAGGTTCCACATTGTCCCATTGCACCCGGACCTCAGCATAGCGCAGTAGCCACCGCCGAAGGAAGAGTGCAAGAACTAGCAAAGGACTCAGGTGCAGGACTCGCTCCTGCAGGATGAAGCCACGTCATGAGTCGAATGAGTCGAAGGGACAGGATGGAAAATGTGTTGGAAAGGTGCAAAATTGGAGAGCAAGGCTGAGCAAGAAAACCATCTTTTTCTTCTGTCAACTCCAAGACTTGTAGTTGCCTCCCTATCTGCCTCTTATTGGAAGCAATAATGAAGACATAATGTTCAAAGCCAAAAAAACAAACCGTCAGACATGATGTGTTTCACAACACAATCTGAATTTATTCAATGACAAGCAGGCTGGCCACGAAGCACGAATACCTGACCGCATTCAAATGGCTCCTGAGTCCCGAAGGTGGCTAGTAGTGTAACAAGTAGGGCAACACCCAAAGCAGCAAAGGCGCGCCACCAGAAGCGAACGCTGGCCCTTGGCGATATCGAAATTGAATCACCCAAGGAAGTCAGACGGCTTTCTCAGAAGGTCAGAAGCCGCTAGTCTCGGCGAACAATTCATAAGCAGTGATTGTCACGAGGAAGGTTGTCGAGTTCAGCAGGGTTGATTCCCTTATGTATTGCATCGTATTGCAAATGCTTTTCTTCTCTCAACAAATGCAAATTGGGTGGGGAGAAGGCTCTTTGAGACTGTGGGATCACCAGGCCAAATAGGTTTCTTCCCACCAAGGAGCAGTGCATCTTCCACATGGAATTCCACCAATAAGTCTGTGGTGCTACCCCTGTCTTTCGAAAGTTCCTTGGAGACGACAAGCACAAAGTCACTGCGCAAAACGGCAAACCTCATCATGCTTTCAATGGGCGTGGGTGCCCACACGAACACAGTCGAGCCTGCAAAGTTAACCTGACAGACACGTACATCAGAAAGGACTATTGGAATAGACGATAGACACATGCTAGACAGGGAGCAAGAGAAGGCCCACTTGTAGACTAAAAACCGTCAGGGTGATGATCCTGCCTAGGATATCAGTGTCCAAGACAGCATTAACTAAAATGAGCCGAACTCACATCTGCAGATCTGTACTAAATCGGTATTAGGGTTGTCGACTTTGATTGACCATTCGGTGAAAGCAGGTACGTCAGGGTGATCAGCTATTGGGTCCGCAGTTACTATGGCCATTCACCCTGCTTCAAAAGTAGCTGACTCTCGTTTCCGTTATGTTCACACATGACACACAAGGGCAGGGGGGTTAGATCGAGGGCCCTCGAGTCTGCATTATGTTCTTTGCGGTTGGTTGCTGGAGGCAGAACGAATGGTGACTTACATACCCTACTAGCCTTGGCACCTGCCCTTGGCCCTACTAGCCTGCAACCCAGCCCCAAAGAGTACTGTGCAGGAAAGCAGGCACGCAAATGGGCATGCCCATCTGCATCAGCAGAAATTTAATGTCTTGCCCATTCCAGGAAATTGTGCAAGATCAAGCAGGAAAAACTTTGCTTCAACAATCAAGTGCAAGCAAGTATGTCCAGAAGGCGTCCCGGGATTTCACAAGCACGCTACGAGCCTTTGTTGGTTCCTGCTGGTGAAAAGAAGGAAAGGAAATAAATCACTGGGAAACCGGGCTTTCACACACGCCCTGATCGCTCTGGACGCTAAGCTGTGGGCTGAGTTTTCTTCTACCGATGCCACAGGGACCTGCAGGTTCCAAAATGCACTCAGTGCGAAACAAGCAGCAATCAAAACCCAAGCTGAACAAAACTTTGACATGACTGGAGTCTATCTCTTCAGTCTGGGGTTCATACACAACAAACCACCATGGAAGAACAAACCACCATGAAAGGAAAACTGAATAATCAATACCATTGACAGCCTCTGGCATCGGCACAACGGGACTGGCTTTCTTGGCCCAACAGCGGGCACAGCGGCGCTGCGGCACTGGAGCACCTAACAGGGTGGCTGACAAGAACGTAAAGGGTCCTTAATGTGCTAGGAACAATGCGTTCAAACAATGAACTTACTGGTAAAGCCAGTAGCATGCAAATTGGCTCGCAAATTGCTCTGTTGGGATGATGATCTGCTTGAATCCCAGCTATGGCGAGAAGAGCACATCATAGAGTTTTTCGCGGCGCTGGGTGTGGGGCCCAGCCACTTGGAAGAAACTTGGCACATGAGAAGCATTCCCTGCATGTTGTTCAACTATCTTACAGTTCTTTCAAGCATGATGCACGTAAGAAAACCGTTATGAAAAAACTATCCCGTGTAGAAGCAGAAGGTCTAGAGATCTAGACATATTGGGTTCCGGAGAGATTTAGAGGTCCAGAGATCCAGAGGTCCAGAGCTCTTGAGATCCCCAGAGGGCTTGATATTTTGGGAGATCTAGAGGTCTAGGAATATCTAAATGCACAAACGTCCAAAAAGGGTAGAGCGCTAGAAGTCTAGGAGATTTGAGATCCAATCTAAAGGTGTGAGTTCCAGAGCTATCAAGAGCTCTAGGGGCCTAGAAACCCAAATGTTTCAAGGTCTAAAAATGTGAGTTGTAGAGGTCAAAAGATCTAGAGGTCTTGACATCTAGAGGGTTCCAAAGGGCTAGAGTCTAGAGAGATGTAGAAGCCTGGTAAGATCTAAGAACCTAGAGATGTAGAGAGATCTAAAGGTCCCACGGTGTACAGATCTAGAGCGGTGAAGGTCTAGAGACCTAATTAGAAGCGTAGATGCATGAGGTGTGGAGGTAGAGAGATGCGGAGGTCTGGGAAGATCTACTGGTGTACAGTCGTATGAGCAGCACACGCGCTGCACCTGCCACGAAATCTGCACCTCAAGATTCACATTGCGCACCTCTGCAAAGGCGTTTCACAACAAAAGCATTTGCAAAGACATCAAAATGCCAAAACGCAGCTTTCGCTTGATACTTCCTTTTTCTTGCAATGGTTGACACAACAGGCCACCAAACCCAAATCCAAGTGGCACCGTTGCAAGCTGCAGAAGACATGCCCACTTCACCCCGCCTGATCACGGTCATCTGCGCGCTTTAATCAAGCCGTTTGCTTGCAATGCTAGGGTCCTGACAAGACCTCAGACGCGACCAACGCGCTGGTTTTGCGGCAGAAAACCTCTGTTGTGGCTGGAAGAATCAGCCCATTCATTTCACACGCCAGCGATACTCCAGTTGACACGAATAGAACTCGAGAGCTGGCAGCACATATGACACAGGCTGCTTCACGCGGGTTGTCCGTCAGCTGGGCAAACCAAGGCAGGAACAGCCTCATGCTCTGTGGCAAAAGCATCTGCAGCACAAGTGGTCCACTCAATTTCGCTGACATCCAATGTGACAATGAACGCATTGTAAAACAACTGCGCTGCCCACGCCGATTCTTTGCAGGTGGTTGCGCTCGGGTTTTCATAGTCGAAGAACACCAAGCTAATCTGCCCGCAGCGAATTCGAGGGCTCTGAGTGGGTGCGCTCTCGAGAGCTTTGACAATGCAATTGCTCAACTGCCGCCCGAAGCATGCATCGCATGATGCGACATGTGACCCCACACCCAGCTTCGCATCCAATGAAGCACAATGTCCCGAAACGGTTGCATGTTCAAATTGAGGTACTGCCCACGGCTTTTGCAACATCTGGTAAAGGGGAGCTGTGGCTTGAGCCACCGACAACCGCCAGCAAACCAAAGCAGCATGCCCACGAAGCGCTCCACTAGCCGGCACTCCATCTTCTTTGCCGGATGGCAGAGTGCTTGCAGAAGTTGTTTTTTTGGAGCGCTTTTCGCTCCGGAATGTACTTCAAAGGAGCATAGGCCCAAGCGATGTTTTTCCAAACTTCATTTTTCCCAAAAGAACGGCATGCAGAGCACACATGAAAAAAGCAAGCAAGCAAGCAAGACCCCGTCATCCACATAAAGAAACCGTCCATGTTATAGCAAAATAAAGCGATGCAGGTGCCGCAGCTCCCACCTCTTGTTCAGCTGCCAAAGCTTCCTTTAGTTTTCAAGCTGCAAACACAAAACGAAGGACACAAGGGAGCAAGGAAGGAGGGTGCGCTGCTGCACTTGGGCAACAGGCTAGCCCTGATTTCTGACAACCAGCCACATGTCAAAGGTCACGCTTCACTCCACCTGCCACGAAATGTCGTTTTTTTTTGAATGCCGTTTGTAGCCTCGAGATGGCCTTCAAACACAACACTAACGCCGTCTTAGCGGTAAATGTTTGATACCAAAATTTTAGCTCTCGCCCAGTTTTTAACCACCCCACGCCCAGCACCCCTAAAACTCACTTCATTCGCCTACTTCAGCCTAGCCTATCGGCTGGCCTTCGTAAAGAAAGGTAACACTGCCAGCAAGCTCAAGTGCAAGAAGGCTTTGCCGACTTTGAGGATGTGTTTCTTTGTTAGAGAAACATACAGGAATACAGCATGATTCCATACGGTAAAGCAGGCATCTTTTTCCGTGGAGAATGAACTCTCAAATCTGCCTTGAAAAGGGCGGTGGTTCAGCAGACCTTACACGCTCCTTATATGAACAGTAGTGTCAGCAGTGTTAAAATAACACTGGGAAATCAGTCGTGGTTGGTAACACACGGACTAGCTTTTTATGTCATCTTTGATGAACATACCTGATCACCCACTGTTAAATAACCATCACCCACTGTTCACTAAGGAGAGGAAAGGTTGTAGGTCCGTAGGCCTAGCCACAAAAAGGAGTTCGACTGGGAAGGACAACTCGCACAATTGCCAGGGTTGGGTTTGGGTCCATGAATCCTCAATACCCAATCTGGACAACCCGTCTGACGGGTTACTGGCAGAGTCGATCCATTCAATCCACGGTCGAATCTGGCGTTTCTGGAAAATCAAGTGCGACAGCTGGACAATGGTGTGAACGTCTTCTTGTCCGCTGGAACCTGTAATTAATGAGGAAACAGCAGCCTCATTATCAACGAACCAGAGGAGATCTCGACCTTCCAGGAGATCACCATGGACCCACGGCACGAGGAGTCCACAAAGCGTCTCTCCAGGGTAGATCTGCTGATGACGTGTTATCCAGGTATCTGTCACTGCCGATGGGACGAGACACGACACTCCTAATGGAGGTGAGGTCATAAGTACCCATCCAACTCGTAATGTACCGTTTTCGAAGGATGCATCCGAGTAAATCACCAGGGGGGATTTGGTAGCTGAGCACACCTCAACATCCCGGGGCCTGGCTGTGCGAAGCATGATGCTGAGAAGGTGGAGGGTGGTGGCCTCAGATTCCAGTAGGACAGGGGATGAAGCGTGTTGCTATGCGGCCAGCACAGGGCCAGCAAAGCGGCCTGCGTGTCCTGCGCACATGCTGAAAAGCCAGTTGAGGCCACCACGAAGCTTCCCTGCATCATCTGGGCGGAGTTGCTTGGTCGCGATCGCCTCGTGGAGCTTGGCTTGGACTTTCATGGTTGTGGAAGTCTTTGGTTGGAATCTGATGACCCCTACGTGGACAGATGTGCCAAGGTAATGCCTATTGGGTGCCGGTACGAAGCTCTTGGAACTCTGCGGTGGGGCACCTAACAACTTGAACACAAGTTGTATAGGTTTCTTTGGGAGACATCGCAATCACGAATGCACTCCACTGCCAGTTCGTCGTCAAAGTACGCAGCTGCACACCCTAATAGGCAGCGCCTAGTGATGGCAATACCAAGTTGTGGGAAACGGTTGAAGTTCACCACAGCACTTTCCAAGCCATACGCCAGACCCCACATACATGTAAATCTCCAGCCCACCCCCGGCGCGAAAATAGCCACGTTTGAAAAGGGGAGGTGGGAATCGGCTACAGGCAAACCCCGATAGGCATCCGGTAGGTCATCCGTACCCAGACGGAGGTCCAGCCATTCTGGGGGTTCCCCAAGAGAAAAGGGCATCTCTGTATGCAACATACGTGCTACGGACGCACAGAAATCAACGTTGACAATTGATATTGTTTCGTGCATCGTAGTATGGGCATTATGACCACTTTTCCTGGCGTTATCAATGGCCCGTTTCTTCCCATCGGGTTGAATGATGAGGAAACGTTCCACAAAACGCCACCCCCCAACCCCAAACAAATCATCCATTTCAAGTGCTGTGCGCAAAGGCGAGCAAAATTCTTTTT